TATCCACTGATCTTCTGGAAGATTTTTTACTAGCCAATGATCTTCTGGATAGTCACTAAAATCGTATAAATCACAATCATCGATCATGTCCTGATAAATATTTTCAGTTTCAATTTCTATGATTAAAGAATCTGTATCTGTATATAAAAGCCTTACTCGATCCCCATATTTCTTTTTGAGATGACTATACCAGAAGTCATACATAAAGTATTTGAAAAGATCAAGAATACACGCCTCCACATATTCTGGCTTATTTAGTTTTACATTGGTCTGTCTTCAATGCACAGCTACTAAGTTTGCCCCATAGAAAATTTTTTGACTAACAAATGCTAAATCTGAAATTAGTCTTCGTAATCTATGTTCTTCTCCTATCTGCCTAACTAAATCAATATTTACCCGTTTTCTAACATCTTCCATAGTTTTTCCAAAAACTGAGTTGTTTATCAATTTCCAGAAATCTTTTTTAAAAGCATTCTTTGCTTTTGCATGTTGTTGAGTATTCATTGCAATGTATAGTTCCAACCATGGTGATTGTTCGAAACCTAAAATTCGATATACTTTTTCAAGAACATATCCTTCTTTTATACATTGTTGTAGATTTCTATAATGAATAATATAATGGTCCTTATCATGGAGAGTTAGTATAAGTTTTTCTGTATCTGAATATTGTTTACCTGCCCATTCTTTTTGTTTTGAACTATACCAATCATATGGTACATTCTTTCGTTCTGGACACATTGGATAGTCTCGAAATTTGGGATGTAATTTTTTTGGAATTGATAACTTAACCTCTAAGCAACATCCTCGATTTGATTTTTCTTTTATCGTTAAAATTTTCTGCACTAAAGGGTGAGATGCATCCAAAGGTTTTGTTGATAGCCATTTAAATCCACCGGTTAGTAAATATTGCGACATTGCCCAACCATATAAGTTATTGGCATCTAGATAGAGTAACCATTTTTTTGCTTTTTTTCCATTGTACCCTTCTAATCCTGGAATATTTGCTTGAGCTATACGTCTTCTAGCTAAGGACATTCCACTCTTTTCATTGCTGTAAAGACGTCATGCATATCCCCTTGATGCTCATTAAATAATTCTAGTTTTACTTTAGTTACCTTCATACAAGCATCTCATGCCAAGCCTGGAGCTGTTAGATAATTTGCCAGATCTAACTTGAATGCCTTATATGAAGCTTTTCAGAATGCCTCGAATGCATCTGCTAATATAAGAACATCCGTTTTGAGGTAAATATTGTGATAATCACCAAAGGTTTTACAAGCAGTTTCTTTCCAAACTGTATAATCAAAATCGTAGTCCTTTTGAGTTATTGTGTAAATTTTCTCATGTTCACATTCTTTGCTTTCACATCCTTGCTCGCAA